GGTTTTACAACAGAAGAGCTATTTCTGTTCCAATAGCATCCACAGCAGATTTAATCAGGAAAAGCTGATCTGGAATAACTCATTATGTAGATGAGCCTATGTGCCTGCATGAGTCACCCTGATGGAGCAATACATTATTGGGTCAGTATGACTTAAAGAATTAGAGCAATTGAAAAGTCTAGCAAAGCAACATTTTCCTGCTGTACCAAAACATCAGTTCAAGGCATTTAACTAGAAACAACTAAGTAAAGTTTCCACAGTTTCAAAGCGCTATATGGGCAACCTAGCTCAGTAAGTTACTCTAATTAATGCCAGTGTAAATCACTAGTCATTCTGAATGCTAGGATTTGAAAATTTTCTCCCGTGTACGTGGAAGAAGTTATAGAAGATTTTTGTTTGTTTTTAAGGTAGCATCCTTTTCTCTCTCTAACTTATGCCATTGCATTCTGTGTTACTGGAAAATCTGTAAATGATTGCTTCAGGACTGTTTTACATCTATCATAATATGGCAAAATATAGCCCTGGTGATGGTTAGTTGTGGAAGATGTTTGTCTGGTCTTTGTGCCAGGGTTCTGGAAGTTGCCCTGAGTAGGCATAATGAAGCACAGAGTGTGTTGTCCTTGCATACCTCTGAAGCAGAGTTAGCCACAGGACTTGAGTTTGAGGAGAAACTGCTATCTCCTTCAGAAAAAAAAAAAAAAAAAAAAAAAAAAAAAAAAAAAAGAAAAGAAAGAGAGAGAGAGAAAAAAAAGAAAAAACATTCAGAATCTATCCCATGCATAGTCTTGTTCGTAAATAAAAATGTAACTAGGAAGGGAGAAAACAAAGCACTGAGGAACAAAGGAAAGCACACAGTCACAATCTTTGCTTAGGTTAAAACTGTCCCCCCTTTTATCTGTCTCCAGCTGTTTGCAAGAACAGATAAAAGCATTATTTTCCTCCCCTGCTACCATGTAGGCCTGGTCAGCCTTCTAACACTGCAATTACAGGCACTTTGGTAAGGTTTGTTTATAGCAAACAGCGATGCTTGCTTTCCAGACTCATGCTAACTCTTTATGGGCTACTCCGTCAAACATGGCACATCCCAGCAAAGTAGACGTCTGTTGCCACAACTTCGTGCAGCCACGTTTGGGCAGGGGAAGACCCTCAAAGAGAAATATTTATCAACTGCTTCACAGGCCCCAGAGCCATTAGACCTTTCACTCCTCGCAGTTGACTCCAAAACTAAAACAAATGGTGCAGCCCATGACTGGCCTCTGCGGCTCCATCCCTGCAATCACTCCAACCTCCACCACTTCTTGGCACGTGCTGCTGATAAGGACCCTGGACTAGGGGAGCAGTGTGGTGGTGGGGACTGCCTCCTCTGTGGACAAGAGCCCCTAGTGCTGGAGCCCTGCAGCCCGGCACAGGTCTGCAGGGGGAGGCTGCCAGCCACCCTTAATGCACTGCCTGTTTAAAGGAAGCAATTAGTTTAACATAAAGACCATCCAGTGTGCCAAGGTTCCCTCATACAAACCTGAAAAACTAAATTGCAGGCACAGATGCTGAGAAAGTGTCACTCATTTGGCTCTTTGAATATCTGATGGTTATCTCCCAAGGTGAATTTATTCCTAGGAAGGAGAGATGAATTTATGTTGTCCCTGAAAAGTGTTAATGGTGCCCATAGGTGCCAATAACCTTCCCTCACCTATAGCTGTGAAAAAGACTTTTTTTTTTTTTTTTCCAGCCGGACAAAACAGAATCAGAAGCAATTTTCACACACTTGTTTATCCAGCTGGTTTTTGGTTTGGTTTTTTTTTTCAATTGGCTGATTTAAGATTGCTAAAATCTCCCCCCACACATTTTGTTATTAGTCTTTCATTGACTGTAACAGTGTGTCAGCAGGCTATGTGTCTGGATCATTACACCCACCGGTTTCATGTGCCCGGTCAGGTGTATGGCAACTTTATATTTTGGCTTTCGTTTATTGGTAGGGTGATAAGAGTACAGCCAGATGGCTCATGTACTGAGCAGCCCTGCGAATTGCAAGTTATAGGCATATGTCTTGTGGAGGCCTATCTCGTCACCCTGCAATCATCGCTTGTAATTCACTGCCTGTCTCACCTTTTTACAGAACAGTCATATATGAGTGTGAGAGACTTAATGACAACTGAGCAGCTGTATACTTGCACTCTGCAAAATTACCCAAGCATCATGAGTACTCCTTGTGATTGCAAAGCATATTCTTGGTCACAGAAGACATTAAAACATGTAATTCCCTCCACATTCGGCTGATTGACCTTGCCCTTGGCTGATGCTGCTGTGAGGGTGACTTCTTGTTAAGGGTGTGAAGCTGCCGTATGCCACTGGAATAAAACCAGATGCCTCATTCATGTTGGGCCTAGCTCTTCTCTTGCTGGCACAGTAATAGCTTTCACAAGCAGCTGTCTTCATCTGCTGCAGCCCAAGCACATCTTTACAAAACTACAATTTATAAACCAGCCTGTGAGGCTTCAGTTCAGGTATTATATGTACGATAACGTCTGGATGAAATGCTGGGAATATACCAATGAGACAGAAGCACTGATAAAGGCTCAAAAGCAAACAGCCAGAAAGGCATTGGCATTGTAGTCTGACTAGTTAGAGAAGGCACATTTTCCTGGCTGAGACTCCTGGCAGCTGGCCCCATGGACTCAGAAGATTTCTTTTTCTAACAGCTGAGATACCTCTCTGAGCTTCACATGTTGTCTGGGACATACCTGTTCACCTTTCACTAGGCACAGACACTTGTGAGCAGAAGTAGACATACAGCCTATGAGGTCCCAAGTCACAAGACTGGGTCTGGCAGGATGACAGGAGACATTTTCAACCTGTCCATACTGAATTTTCTGCCAGCAAACAGCACAACAGAGCTGAACATTAACTTCCTGTGTAGGCATGGCATATAATAAGCTGCATCGCTTACCACCAGCATGTCTTTTGCCCCTTCTCTTCAATGTGATGCTGGAATCTGCCCACTAAACAGAAAGATTTGTGTGACTCATCCTCCTCATAAAGTATTTCAAAAGGTTTAAGTTAAGAGGAATACAGCCCAATGAAACAGCCAGTTTTGTCTCGCTGTACTGACAGAAACTGTCTAGTCAAATTCCAGAAAGTTTTGTGGGGAAAGTTGTGCCTTCTGTTTTCATATCACTAAGATTACATCTTTCCAAAAATTATGGAAAGGAGTTCCGTGAAAAAGTTAACTAAAGATTAAGAAGTGGTAAAATGCTGTAAACACAATCTCTAAAGCATCTCTAAACAGAACAAGCAG